ATACAGACCCAAAGCTGCTGAAGCTCTGAATCAGTCTGGACCCCACAGCAAGCAGTTCATGTTGGAGAACTAACAAGGAAAGATGTTTATTCTTAACACCCCGGGCAGAGAGGAGACCATCCCTTCATCTGAAGTATCCCTTATCTTGAGCAAGCAGATTTTAGTCCATTCCTGCCCATTTTGTCCACAACAATGGGAATCAGTCATTGCTTTATGAGTGTTTTTTCTCAGCTAGGATAGGTACAACTTACTCTGTTGGTTAATGCTCTGAGAGCACAGGAGCCACAGTAATGTCTTTGGCTCCCTACAGCCAAGCAAAGCTGCCTGGCTTCCTCTGTCCCCACGTCAAGAGGAAGAGAACACTTCCCTATTGGACGACGAAGAAACTGTATGTTTAGCCTATAACCTCTATTTTCATCTTCATCTAGCCCCAAACTGAAAAGGAGACTGAAGGCAGCTCGTCCCAGTGCAGGAATACCTGGGGAAGATGCCAGCACTTTATCTTTAATCTGCTGATGCAGCCGATGAGAGCATCACTTCCTTAGAACAAAAGGCAGAGAGCAGGCACAGCTCACTCGATTGATCAGCTCTGCTTCATTCAAGCAGAGCACTTGGTGAAGATTAGCTCTCCTCCTCCTCCCACCCCGAGGCTCCTTTCCCCTTGTCCCTGCTTTTCTTGCAGGTCCCTGGTTGCTGCGGGGTGGCAGAGCTGCATCCCCACTGCAGCAGTGCAGGGAAGGGCTCACCTGCTCCTGCCGATGGGATTTCACAGCGGGCATTAAGTCCTGTTTTAATCCCATGACTGGGATAGCAGCAGAGGGGTAATGCAATTAGCCAGGAATGCCATGCACTCGAGCTTCACAGCAGGGCAGCTGTGTTAAGACACTTTCCCTCCCCACTCCAGTTGCACACCTGAGAGGCATTCCCTGGACACGATTTCTGTGGCTTGAAAGCGACAGTTCCAAAAGGAAAATCAACAAACAATAGAAACAAAAGCTCTTTAGAGGCAGTATTACTCTAATACTCTCTCACCTTGGAGTGTCTCAGCTGTACTTTGATGCTAAGCTCTTTAAGAGCCAAGCTGTCCAGGCAGAACACCAGAGCTGTGGGGTCTTGGAAACGTTGCTACCACAGGGCTCTGCTTTGGGATCAGCTTTCCAGCCTTTAAACAGTTTGTCTGGATGCACAGAGGTGGAATTATTTAATACCAAGCAGGCCTAAATATTTAAATCCTAACTTCTTCAGCTGGATTGGAGATTTCTCCCTGTTCAGGCCCATTCAAGGCTGTAGGGGAGCACCCTCAACCACAAATCAACTTGAAGCACAACTGCAGCTCCAGAACTCATTAAGCAGGTAAGTCATTGACTTGCCCCAATAACCATAACAAAGCCCCTTTTTCTTGTTCTCTCCCACACCAGTTTAAGAACTGCTGTTATGACTTTTACAGTCTGGTTTTCGAGAAGCCACAAGACAGTAATTTGATTTTCTGAGAGCCCCCAGCTGCTGTACAGCTGTTCTTTATTGCTTCACGGCAGAACTTAACAGCCTTATCCAAAACCACGTGGCCTTGATAACCTAGAACTTGAGAGCTTTCCTGGAAGCTTTTTCCCCCCAGCACAGCCCCTGACTGAGCTCCCCCAGCTCTGCAGCAGCAGGACCAAACAGAGCCCTCAGGCTGTGGAACAACACATGGGAACCAAGGAATGGTGAGGCACCCACAGAAATGACTCAGTCATGTACAGCCACTACAGTTCACTGGCAGCAAGTTTCCTCTAAGATTACTTCATCCAAAGCTTGCCCTACAGAAGCACATTTTACCTCTTCAGAGCACTACAAACCCCTTCCTGCCCCAGTTTCACCTCTCCACACCTTGATCTAACCTGCAACTGCAGCACCAAAGGGCAACAAAGCTACATCAAGCTCACCTTTTACATTGTTTTCCCCACTCCTAAATAAAGAACCACTCTCTATGGAACAGCTTTCAACTCCTATGCCAAAACACAGCCTTTATCCAGGGTTTATAGAGTCTCTCCATGGATAAGCTGCTTCCTTTCAGCTTAATGCTTCCTCCTCTGAAACACCATCTTTAAACACCACCCAGAACAGCTCTTTTTCCTATAGAGCTTTTATTTGCTTGTAGAACATCTGTCTCCTTAATGCCCCTTCCCTTGCTAACTACCTTTTATTCCTTTATTGGCATCACATGTCTCATCTGTCACACTGGACCTTTTTGCCTTAAAGGCACATGCAACTGAGGAAGTCTGAAAGAGGCTCTGACAGAACAGAAGCACATTCTGATCCAAACCATCATCCTGATAAAATCTCAGTTGCCCCAAATTATGAGATGTTAGAGCTCCTTAATGAAACAGCTGAGGTATTTTTAACACGGTCAAAAAAACCTATTTTGTCTCCTGACCTTCAGCTCAGAAATAGCTGCACTATTTTTTTTTTTCAGTCTTCCAAAAAATGACTGCATAAAATGACACACCCCCCCTACAATTTCAGCCTCAGTGTTTAAAGTTTGGCATCATATAACTAGCTGAAAACATGGTCTCTCAACAAAAGATGTTAAACAACTGCTGCTACTCCCAACTTAGAAATCTATCCATGATAATAACAGGCTGAAGTGACCAAGGCCTCAGCTGTTCATCTCATTCCACGTGCCAGAAATATGCAGCAGGGAGACTTGCACTTTAATGATTTCTGCTAAAGTAGGTGGCAAACTCCCCTTTTCCTCCCAGAGCAGAACACAAATTGCAGAAGGGGACTCCCATGTACCCAAAGAGACCCAGATTAACTTCTGAGAGCTCAGCAAGCTTTGCCATCAGGGTGCTAACGGGTTAAACCTAGAGCTGTGGGATGTAGCACTGCTTCCCCTGAAGCTCCTTGCTAAATGTACTGTGTAGTAACATCACAGGGAGCAGGAAAGGGAGATCTTTCCTGGATTGTTTGTCCAGCTGGCTCTTTCAGATGAGTTATTTACCCCCTCAGCAAAGCTAATTTGCTACATTCCACCGTTTGTGATGTGCCCTGTGCTGGGTTTTGGGACTGGAGCTGTTCAGAATCGCAGGCACTGAGCCTCACCCAGCCCAGAGCTGCATTAGCAACATGGTTGGAATCACAAAGCGCTGTGCAATGCGAGGCAGGGCACACTGCAGTCTCCCTCCTCCCAAATTTGGATCCACATCCTTGCAGACAAACCTGGGTGCTGACACCGTGTCACTCTGGCACGTTTGCAACACCTTACAGGGTCTTTGTGAGAGCAGGCTGGTGCAATAACCTCCAGAGCAGGGTATGGAATAAAGGAATGATACAGTAAATATGAATCAAAGTTGTATCATAGAACCATAGAATGGCTTGGGTTGGAAGGGACCTTAAAGACCATCTTATTCCACCCCCCTGCCCTGGGCACACACAGCTTCCACTAGACCAGATTGCTCAAAATATATATATATATATATATATCTATATGTATCTATCTATCTATCTATGTCACAAATATAATGCAAGGCTTGCCTTATGTATGATTGCATTTCTAGGTTACCAGCCTGAGCAGCAAGGTACCCCAGTTCTGTGCTCAGTTCTGCCAGTGTGACTCCCTTTCCCCACCTGTAAAGTAGTGGTGGTAAAGTGTCTCTGCTTGGGTAAAATAATTTGAGACCTTTTGAGTGACAAAGGCAACAGGAATGGTGTGTAGTCTTGCCATATAATGTAATGCCATGTATTATGGGATGCAGTTGTAGCTGTTTAGCAGTCTAAGTCTGCTTCACAATTCCCTGCTGTTGCCATACACGTTTGCAAAGACACATTTTTTCCTTTGCTTCTCTTCTCTCTGCCTCTCGTCACTCCACCTGCCTCCCCAAAACTTGATGTGTCTAAAAGCAGTGTCAGGCTGAGCTGAATTGCACACCAGGAGGGTCACAAGGTACTTCTGTTGTTCAGAAAACACAGGACTGGAATTGTGGGGGCACATGTGAGGTGAGGAGGGGGTGTGCTGGGGCCACAGTCATTTCAGGACACAAAGCAGTGCAAGGTCTGTAGACAAATATACCTACCTGTGTGTGTGTATATATATATATATATATGTAAATAAAATTAGACATCTATATAGCAGTGCAAGGTCTGTAGACAAATATACCTACCTGTGTATATATATATATATAAATAAAATTAGACATATATATAGCAGTGCAAGGTCTGTAGACAAATACACCTACCTGTATATATATATAAAATTAGACATATATATATATAAATTAGACAGCCAATGCAACTGGGGAAAAGAGATACTTTTTCTTTTAGAATTAATCATAGAATTAAGGATGGTTTGGGCTGGAAGGGAACTTAAAGTTCATCTTCCAATGCCCTGCCATGGGCAGGGACACCTTCCACTAGACCAGGTTGCTCAATTCGCCATCCAACCTGCCCTTGGAGGTTACCAAAACTCCTGCCACACCTCCCGCCTTTGGTCAAGGCTTTGGTCCGATGGTGCAGCGAGAGCATCTCCAGCCAGAACGGGAACTACAAGCCAACGCACCCCCCCACCCCTACCCATAGGGACACGCCTGACGCAGCGCCCAGGCGGGAAAGGGTGCGATGCCCAGTGCCCAGTGCCCAGCAGGGTCTGGCCGAGGGTGTTCGTGTCCCACCCGAGCGGGGGCCGCGCCCCCAGAGCCCCCCCCTTAACGCTGCGATTTTTTTTTTTTCCCCCCTCTCGCGCGGCGGCGCGCTGCGAGACCCGACGCCAACCACAAGACTGTGCGGCGGGTGGGCGGAGCGCGCGGCGGGCGGGGCGCTGTGTGTCGGGCCCGCCGGCGCGGCGCGGGTGGGCGGGAGGTGAGCGGGGCCGGGCCGGGGGTCGGGGGGCGCCGGGGGCGGGACGGGGGTGGGACCCCCGGCACGGACGGGCTGGCCCCGGCTCTCTGCGCTGCCCTGTGCCACCGGGCAGCGGCATCGCCCCGCTCCGGCACCGCGTGGGCGGCCGGAGAGCCGCGCATGGCCGCGGGAGGGAGGGAGAGATGCGGGGATGGAGAGATGGAGGGATGCAGGGATAGGGGGATGCAGGGATGCTCGTGGTCCCCGCCGACCCCCGTCCCGTCCCCGGGGTTCCCTGGCGGGCAGAGGTGTTTGCGGGACCCCCGGTCCGTCCCTGCCCCGCGTGGGTACCGCAGGTTCTCCTGCCCCCGCACCCGCGGGACCCGCGTCCCCGCCGCGCTCAGCCCGTCCCGGCTCCCGCTGGCCCCGCCGATCCCTGCGTGTCCCGGGGAAGCTCCGGCGGGAGGTGCGGGGGGATGTGACACGCAGCTGTCACAGGTGAGCTCACCCCTCGGGTCCCAGCGCATTTTGTCACCGTAACCCTGTCCTGCTTTTCCAGGGCTCCGGACGCTGAGCTGCCGTCCCGGTGCTGGGACCAGGGCACCTGGAGTGGGGCTGTGCCAGAACCAGAAGGGCCAAACACTAATTCCTGCATCGCCCGGCTTGCTTTTAATGTGAGTCTCCACGTTAAGCCTCTTACCTTTCCAGGAGCTGATGGTGAGGCCATTCCTGCTCTAACGTTGGCCAATATGGTTTTCCTGATTCTCAAAGTATCCCCGTAACTCTTTCCTTCATGTGTTACCTGTGCATGGCCTTTTAGGAGCCCAGACACACTGCTTGTATCATAGAACCACCTTCCCTGAGTCAGAAGGGACCCAAAAGGATCATCAAAGTCCACCTCTTTTGGCTCTGCACCTGTTAATTATTTTTCAGTGGGGATGCAACAGTAACAAAACATCTTTTTCTTTTTTTTTTCCCCGCGTACAAGATCTGAACTGAGCTCCTGTCAAACTGGAGGAAATGCACAGTCTAACTGCTGGGTTAAGCTCCCACATGTTTTATATGGATAAGGCCCAGGAGTCTTTTCCTGAAGCCTGACTGAGCAACTTTGTTCTGGCCGGCGGGGGGGATTTTTTGAGTATTATTTTTTAATGTGAACAGTGGTGATTAGCTGATATGAAAGCAGTAAACAAACATTGCTGGGTTTGCTGTGTTTTTTCTGGGCAACTAGCTCAATATTTTGCAATTGGGAGTGTTGTGAAACTGGCTTTCAGTTGGCTTGGAAGGACATGTGACTGAATCTGCCGGGAAGTTACTTGGCTAATTCACTCCTGCCCTTTGGAAAAGCCTGACCCACCCAAACCCTTCCCACTCCACGGTGGGACCTCCTGAGGTCTCGTGCAGCATCTCAGGGACTGCAGCCTGCCAGGGTGCAATGGGCACTGTGTCACATGCCCCTGCTTCCTGGAACAAAGGTTGCTCAAACAAGTGTAAATACTGCCCCACTGCCCTGAGAAACGTTGCCACCTGAATTGTAACCCCACAGCAGGGGAAGGAAAACCAAATAGTTATTTAGGCTGCAGGCAAAACCTTAGGAGCCACATTTCTGCCTCTCTGCAACTGCCAGCGCTGTTTGCTGGATTCCTCAAGTGAGTTCATGGGGCTTAAAGAGCACAGGGAGAAGGGAGGGAAGTAGGGGAGGCTGGGGAGAGCTGATATGAATTAAATTTACAGCCCCCAGTGTACCTTGTTGAAACTCTCTGGAGGAAAGCAGGGGCTACTGGGCTGTCTCCTGAGGGACTGATGTGCCTGTGGGCATCACTGAGGGTGTTTCCTTGCACAGTGGGCTGCAGTTGTCAGCTGAAGTGATGCTCAGCTGCCCTGTTTCCGTGCAGGAAACAGGGAAGGAAAAGCCAAAGGAATTTTTATGCAAACTGAGAGAGAAGCTGGGGTGCCCAGAAAGCTCAGCACTGCACAAGAGCTGTCCTGCTGTCCTAGGAGGGCTCACTAAGATGCCCCTTTCCCACTGCCACGGGGTTGTGGTTTTGGGACTGTTCCTTCTGAGAGTTGGACCAGGGGATTGTTCCCAGAAAGGCTCATTGGGGTCAGTTGGAGACCTGCAGCACCCAGCTGAGCTCAGGTGCAAAGGTGAGGAGGAGTCAGGAAGACACTCTGGGAGCAGGAATTGCCACATGTGCCCGTGTTTGGCAGCTCACAAACATCATCCAGGAGGTTTGGCCCAGCCAGAGTGGATGGGCTGAGAGCTGGGGTGTGCTGGGACGTTGCTGGCTCAGGCACGATTCGTTTTTTCTCTGCTGTAATCAGGTCTTTCCTCCCATTTACCAGAAAGGGAGCAACCTGCCTTATCTCTCTTGCTCACCCAGCCACTGGTCAGAGACTCTGCCACACACCAGTCCCTGCAGGAGAAAGATCTGCACTGGGAAGAAGACACATTTCCAGCTCCTCTTGCCACTGTGGTCTCTGAAGCTCCTGTGTTACAGGTGAGTCTGCTGGGGAGAGAAACACAAGATTTATACAGACCAGTTCAAGCTGCAGACACAAGAGATGTTCAGATGTTCCTTGTTATTATTTAGTTATCCTTTAGCTAATCCTTTAGCTAATTTAGGTCCTTTAGCTGCTTTGGATCCTGTGTTGATTCAGTGATGAAATAGTGGATTTTCTGGGAGCTTTCTATGGGGAAAACCAGTGAAGAGCTCGGACATCTGTGCTTCATCCCTCTGCCATTCAGGGGAGCAAGGACCAGGCCTTTTGCTCCAGGCTAGGAAAGACAATCCTGAGTGAGCCTGGGCAGATAAAAGCAAAGAGCTTTTGGTTCTGGGGCATCTGTACAGCTGTAACTGGAGCAATGGAGCCAGGGATGTTTTTCTTGCTGACTGTGAATGTGTGAATATGAGGAGACACTTTTCAGAGTCATATCTGCCCGCAGAAGGTTCATTCTCATACCCAAGATCCATTTCTCAGTGGTGTGGTCATGAAACTGCCATTTTAAAATGGTGTAATCCTTCCCCAGTGCAAAGCCTAATGACTGCAACTGCACCAGCACAAAAAAGGCCTCTTACTGTCAAAATATGGCTGGTTTTCCTACACAGGTAAAATTAAAAGATATATATTTATTGACCAGAACCAAAAGTTTTTAAAGAAGTTTATTATCTCGTGTGCTCTGAAGGCTTTACTCCAGCTAAACAGAAAGTGAAACTAAGGGAGTGAGATATCCATAAGAGCTTCTGAAATAACATCTGATGGAATGAGAACTGCACAGTGGTTTAGTCACTCATTCCAGATTATCTCTCATGAGATGTAAAGTTACCATTGCCATGTTTCTAGGTATAAGAACTAAATGTTTCTTTTCTCTTAAAAGCAGCTTTATTTTGAATAAGTAAGAGTGAGCAAAGGGGCTTTTTGGTCAGGGACTCCAGCTGTCCCTGTCTGCAGGGGTTTGAATGGGGGCTGAGTGGAGAAGGTGCTGACCTGCTCTTCAGTGATGGGAGGTTGAGGGAGGCAGAACACAAACCCCACGTTCTCCCCTGGCCACAATCATGGCCATCATGGGGCACCATCTAAACTGGCTCATGTCTAGACTCAATTTAGGGGCTAAACTTCTTCCCCTGTGTTGTTTTATCACACCAGTCTCCCAGCTGCTCCTCAGAACCCAGTTCAGCTCTGTTCCCGAGGGTGCTGGTGCATGTGAGTCATTAAACAGTGTCCTAAGGAGGAGTCTGTGCACTGGGACTGCCAGTGGTCGTGTTTGCCTCTGAGCTGCTCTCACAATATTGACTTGAAGCCATGCCAAGGCAGAATAACACTATTTGAGCAAAGTCCCAAACAGGAGGCTGTTGAAAGCAGGACTTAACGTGCAGGCACGTGTGTCCAGTGTGCAGGCACGTGTGTCCAGTGTGCAGGCACATGTGTTCCTTTGTAGCCAGCTCTGAAATCTGTGTTAAAATGGGCTCCAGTTTCACAGTCTAAAGGCACGGACACCCCTGCATTAACTCAGCTGTGGGAACAATGCACATGCTACCCAAAGACCTTGGGCACACACTGCCTTCCACTTCTTGGTGTGCATGAGGAGGCTCTTCAAGAACCCAAATCACGGAGGGGAGGAGAGACTGTTGGGTGGAGGGTGCAGGCAGAAGTCCCTGGCTCTTCAGCCGTGGGAAAGCATGTACCTTGCTTTGTGTTTTGCAGAGTTATAACATGAATTGACGTGTTTTCTTTTCTGTTCTTGTCTTCTAGTGTTCCTGGGTCCACCCCTTCTCTCCCAAGATGCTGGGAAGGGTCCTGTGTGCAGCGTTGGTCATGGGAGCCTTGCAGTCCCTGGCTAAGGCATCCCAGGGCCACATCTCCGTGGTCCTGCTGGGAGCCACGGGTGATTTGGCCAAGAAGTATTTGTGGCAGGGTCTGTTCCAGCTCTACATGGACCAAGTGAGCAATGGCCACAGCTTCACGTTCCACGGGGCCGCACTGACAGCTCAGGAGCCAGGGGAGAGGCTGATGTTTGAGGTGCTGAAGAAGCTGTCCTGCCCCCCGGACGAGGCTCCCAACAGGTGTGCTGTGCTCAAGGACCAGTTCCTGAAGCTGAGCCAGTACCACCAGCTGAGTAGTGCCGAGAACTACACTGCCCTGAGCAGGGAGATCGAGGCCCTGCTGCGCCAGGAGGGGCTGAAGGAGGCTGGGAGGATCTTCTACTTCTCAGTGCCACCCTTCGCCTACACGGAGATCGCCCGCCACATCAACAGCAGCTGCAGGCCTCCCCCGGGGGCCTGGCTGAGGGTAGTGCTGGAGAAACCCTTTGGCCATGACCTGGAGTCGGCCCAGCAGTTGGCTGCAGAGCTGACGGGCTTCTTCAGGGAGGAGGAGATGTACCGGGTGGACCACTACCTTGGCAAACAGGTGAGCAGCTGGCAGGGCACAGCCCCCTGCCAGGCTGGGGGGCCTGGTGGCTGTGGGAGAGTACTGGGTGTCAGTTCTGCATCTAATGAGAGTGTTGTTCCCCTCCCAAATTCAGGCAGAGCCTCTTATTGTGATCCCAAGCCTCATGGAATCCTGTACTGTTCCTCCTGTCCTGTGCTGCTGTCCATCCTCTTAGAGAGCAGAGGAGATGTGCAGACCAAAGCAGGGCTTTCTCCTGTTGGAGTGATGGGGGTCCCTTCTCCAGAGGGAGGCCAGGGTGTAGGGTTGAACTCTGTGTGGGCCTGAAGTAGAGATGCAGAGTTTATCTGGTCTTCTGACCAAGGTCGGGGGTTTGATTTCGCTGAGTAACCAGCGCCCTTTCCCTCTCACAGTTCTCCCATCTCATTACTCACAGGCCTCTGTGCTTAGCCGTGCCTTCTGGAAGCAGTTTTTGATTTGATATGATAAGGAGCTGATGGGATGTCAGTTTTATGGGGTGCTTAGGAGAAGGTTTCTTCCTGCCCTGTGTTCCACTCCGGCCTGCTGCAGGGGCAGCTCAGGGTGTGGAGCTGCATTGTCCCCAGGGGAATGTGTCCAAGGACATGCCATCCTTGTTTCACAGGAATGTGATGTCACATTTTGAAAGGAGCCTGTTCCAGCCATGGCACTGTGGCCAGATTTTACTGCATGTCCAGCTGCAGGGAGAGCATCTCCACTAAGAGAGGGGGATTTCTTCTGTTTTGTTTTTTGGTTGGATTTTTTTTTTTGTGTCCCAAAAAGAGCAGATGGCTTTAGTGATGTAGCATTTCAGCACTTTGGAAGTGTACATTAGTCCCAGGATGGTCTGACTCAGCCCTTTGTCCTTTGACAGATATAAACTGAGTGCCTTGCAGTTTGTAGTTCAGCCTTTTTTCACATGAAACCTCAAAATGCCTCAGAAAGACCTTTAATGTCTGCTCTGGACAGTCACTGGCAGCCCCACTGTGCATCCCTGCAGGCTCTCTTGCTGGTTTTCTCTTCTCTGACCCACTCTGCTCTCTGCTGTGCTGCCTGTCTGCGGCACATCCCAGTGCTGGATGGGGCAGAGGTGTTGTGCCAGAGATATTGTGGGAGTCTGGTGAGTTTTTATGGGATCCTTGACTTTTTCCCTTCACAGGCTGTAGCCCATATCCTGCCTTTTCGAGATCAGAACCGACAGTTTCTGGATCCCATTTGGAACCGACTTCATGTGGAAAGAGTGGAGATTGTCCTGAAGGAGACTGTGGATGCTAAAGGTTGGTGAGGAGAGTGTGCAGAGTGTGCAAGGTGAATGAATGAGAAGGAGAACTGGCAGGTTCATTAATTATGTGGAAGTGGCCCTTGAGGTAGTGCTGGTACAGAAATAAAACCCGTAAGGTATGCTGCTCTCTGGAAATAGAGGGGGACTGTCCTGCACTTCCTGTGCTAGAGACTGACTCACTTCCAGGTAGTGTTGCTGCTTCCAAGAAAAGATTCCAATTGCAGTTTGTCTGGGAGCAGGGTCAGAATCCCCCACCTTTTTGTGCTGCAGAGCCCTGGGGACATTGCACCCAGCTTTCCATCCTGATTCTTGGTAAAAGGCACTAGATTTGGAATTGATGCAATCTAAGGCCACTTCAGTTTAGTGCAGCCATCCTCTGGTTGTTGAAACAACAACAACCCTTTTGTATTCCTGTCCTGTTAGCTACCAAGCTCACCCTGAGTGTACCTTTGTGCTGTTCCTTGGAAGGTGCTCTTGCATCTCTTGCCTGGATGTTGCTCATCTCAGCTCATCGGTGTCAGTCCAAGTGCCCGGGTCACTCTGTGTTTGCCTGCCTGTTTCTTTCCCTTCCTCTCTTGTAGTAAGAAGGAGCATTGCAGAGAGAAAAAAATCCAAGCCCAGAGCTGCCAGCATGGGTCTCCTGCTGAAGGACACGGCTGCATTCCCTCCCTGCAGTGCTGCAGCAGCCGCTCTGCAGTGCTCAGCACAAAGCTCCCTGGGCTGGACTGCCACCCGCAGCATTTTGGGCACGTCAGGTGCCCTCAGTTCTGCAACATCAGGGCTGCTTCTCCACTCACTTTACCTGCTCCCTCCTTCCCTCCCTGCCTCCCTCCCTCCTCGCTCTCTGAACCACCACAAAACAGAACACAGTTCTATCAAACTTGGAGTGATCTCCAGTTTGGCAGCCCAGACCTCACCCGGGCCTGTTTCTGGGGAGGGACACATTGCAGAGAAATAAAGGGGGGAAGTGTTTTCTCTGCACAGCCCCAGCTACACCCTGTGCCCTCCCTGCTCTGAACAACTTTGTAATTTTTCGTTTGGCGTCTTTTTTCCCCTGTTCAGCTTCAGCTGGCAGCCTGGCTCCCAGCGAGTCTGCAGCATTGATTCCACTAATGAATGTGCCTTTGGATTAGAGCAGAGGAGATAAACGTATCAATCAATAGGGGAAGCCTATGGGTGATGCAGTCTGCAGCCTGCTGCTGCTGGATTACACAAAGGCATCTGCTTGAGTCTCTTCATAAGTGCATTGTCCTTCTCCCCCTGCTCCCACCTGCATGAGAAGCCAGGCAGGGAAAGGGGAAGCATAAAATTTTGTCTCCCAAGGGCATGGCTCAGCCAGAGCCTTCTGAGGACGGGAAAACCAGGGGAAAGGGGCAGTGGAGAGCAGTGCTCATTGCCAGGGCACAGCTGCTGCTGTTCTGGGGAGCTGGTAGAGCTGTTGGGGTCCCTGCTCTGACCCCACTTTCCAGGCACTCTGATAAAGCTTTTGTGTGGAACTGCCTGTTGTGTGGAGTCCCAGACCCAGGGCTGTGGCTGCAGAGCTGCCTTCTGCTCTGTGCACTTGGGACTGTCAGGCACAGCATGACTTCTCCTGGGTTTAGGCTCTGTAAGCACCCAAAAAGAGGAGTGTGTTTGGCTCTGGGGAGGACAAGCAGTCCAATGGGGACCTTTAATCTTTATTTTAGTGTAGAATCGTAGAATGATTTGGGTTGAAAGGAACCTTTGAAGACCATCTCGTCCAACCCCTTTGCCATAAGCAGGGACATGTTTCACTAGAACAGGTTGCTCAAAGCTTGAACACATCCAGTGACAGGACATCCACAACTTCTCTGAGCTTGGTGGCTTCAAGTTAATTGTTGGGCTGGGAGAAGAGGTGCAAACCAGTCAGGGCTTGTTCCCTTTGTTCTTGGCACACACATTACACATGCAGAGGACAAAGCTGCAAGAAAACCACATCAAGTTTAAATACATCTTCCCTCCTTGTCCTCAGGCCGCACCAGCTTCTACGAGCAGTACGGGGTCATCCGGGACGTGCTGCAGAACCACCTCACAGAGGCCCTGATGTTCCTCATCATGGAGCTGCCAGCCAACGTGAGCAGGACAGAAGAGGTTTTGCAGCACAAGCTGCAGAGCTTCCAGTCCTTGTGGGGCCTGGAGAAGAACAGTGCCGTGCTGGGCCAGTACCAGGCGTACGCCAGCCAGGCCCAGGAGGAGCTGCAGCAGGCACAGGACTACGTCAGCACGACACCAACCTTTGCAGGTGAGAGTTTGGGCTGGGCCCTGGAGGGGGGAGTAATCTGGAGCTGAGGAGAGCAGGAGATGTGAGTCCTTGTGTGATGATACCAGCTCCATGACTCTGGACCTCACTGCTGGCACTGGGATGTCTCCAGGCATCCACCAGCATGACTGGGAGCTGGAACAAGACAACACTGTTGTCGTGACAGCTAGTGATCCAGTGAATGAGAGGCATAAGAGCTAAGTCCCATTATTCTAAGAGCTCTGCATTATTTTTAAAAGTGGCCTGCAAACTCCTTTGCCTTTTCATGAAGTTGAATTGCTCTCTGCAACTGAGGGGTAAAGCTCTGCAGTTCTCTGTGATGAATGAACCATGAGGCCACCTCTAGCCATGCTGTGTCTTCTGAACGTTAAAGATACTGTCTGAATTATGTTCATGGTCAGAAAACTGGTTTCCTACAAGATTAAAGGAGGCTAAACAAGTGGGATGCCTGGGAGGAAGCACAGCAGGGTAACTGGAGAGCAGTTAGGTAATGAAGTCAGGAAAGGGTTGAATGTGGAGCAAGAGACACGGTGGCTGCCAAAATTTCTGGAACCTGAGGAAGGAGAATAATGGGTAGGTGATAGAGATCCCCCCAAAACTGTTTGCTGTTCAGGTTTGATTTGGTAGCTGAGTTCCCTGTCATTTCAGGTGTGCTGATCCGCAGTGACAGCCTGCGGTGGGAAGGGGTCCCTTTCCTCCTCACCTCTGGGAAGGCTCTGGATGAACGGGTAGGTTATGCCCGTGTTCTCTTCAAGAACAGGGCCTACTGCACTCAGAGTGAGACTCTGAGGGATGCAGGGCACAGCCAGTGTAAAGCCAAGCAGATCATCTTCTACTTCGGGCACGGGGCCCTCAATACCCCTGCAGTGCTTGTGAGCAGGAACCTTTTCCGACCTGTCATGCCCAAAGACAGTTGGAAAGAAGCCGTGGCCCGGTCGGACCTGCACATTTTTGGACAACCACTGTCTGATTACTATGTGTACAGCCCTGTGAAAGAGAGAGATGCGTATTCTGTCCTCATCTCCAACATCTACCACGGCAGGAAGGATTTCTTCATCACCACGGAGAACCTGCTGGCCTCCTGGGCCTTCTGGACGCCGCTGCTGGACAGCATCTCCCACCAGCCCCTGCGCCTCTACCCCGGGGGCGTGGAGAACCAGCACCTCCTCGACTTTGAGATGGTGAGTGGGGGACTGGCATTCACCCTGGCAGAGCCAGCGGAGCTGCTGAGCCCCACCAGGCACATGCCAAGTGATTACAAGGCAATCCAGTCCAAATATCGGCAGAGCCCCCTGGTCTCGGCGTGGTCCGAGGACCTGATTTCCCAGCTGGCTTCCGACATGGAGGAGGCAGCAGTCAGGAGCGTGGCACACTCCGGGCAGTTCCACCTGGCCCTCTCAGGGGGCTCAAGCCCAGTGATCCTGTTCCAGAGGCTGGCAAGGCACCACTACGCCTTCCCCTGGAAGCACACCCACATCTGGCTGGTGGACGAGCGCTGTGTCCCCCTCACCGACAGCGAGTCCAACTTCTTCAGCCTGCACAGCCACCTCCTGCAGAGCGTCAGGGTGCCCTACTTCAACATCCACCCCATGCCCGTGCACCTGAACCGGCGGCTCTGCGTGGAGGAGGACAGAGGCACAGAGCTCTATGCCAAGGACATCGTGGCCCTGGTGGCCAATGCCAGCTTCGACCTGGTGCTGCTGGGGGTGGGCACCGACGGCCACACGGCCTCGCTCTTCCCCCGCTCGGAGAACGGGCTGGAAGGGGCTCCCACTGTGGTGCTGACTGAGAGCCCTGTCAAACCTCACCAGAGGATGAGCCTTAGCCTACCCCTCATCAACAAGGCCAGGCGGGTGTTTGTCCTGGTTTTGGGGAAGGGGAAGCACGACATCACCACCCTGCTGAGCAGGGTGGGCCACGAGCCAACAAAGTGGCCGATCTCGGGCGTCAGCCCCAGCTCTGGCCAGCTGGTCTGGTACGTGGATTATGAAGCTCTACTTGGGTGATGCCTTCACAGTGTCCCTCCTCCCTTGTCTGCGTGGCCTTTACAGCCTGGATTTTCCTACACAACGTCCATGTTTTTCTGTTGCCAGCGGCAGCTTCATCTCTGACGGGCTCCTCAGAGCTTCTGGGATATCCGTGGCCTGCAGCGCCTCTGACATTTGAGCCTGAAGGGAGCTGGGCTCAGTGTTCAGAGCTCAGGAGGAGCCAGTGCAGCATTTTTGGCTCTGCCAGGGATTCTGACTGTGACTTTGGACAAATTACCTCACCCTGAAGTGCCTCAGTTTTCCTGTAAGGCGTTTTTGCTTATTGGCATTTAACTACCTCGCAGGCACTACGGGAGACTTGTTAAATTACCTGCCAAATTTTTTAAAAATTTCATGTAATTCTCAGGATAAGAGGCAATAATAACATGTTCATCCTGTGCCCTGCTCAGTCTGGCTGGGCCAGAGTCCTTGTCTCAGTGAAAGGAGGGTTGTGTGCACAGGGGTCTGGTGTCAGCCAGGCTCTGACTGTGCCCTCCTGGGAGCACGTTTGGCTTTTGTGCCATGTGGCCCCTAAATTCTGACACTGATTTGTGAGCTCACTGCAGTCCTGAGCCTTTGCAACCTGCCCAGCAGCAGAGGCTGAGTTTAGAAGCACTAATTTGCTGCTTTCATTAAGTGGATGGCTGATACAGGGGGGATGGGGAAGGAAGAGAAACTGCTTTTCAGGCTGTTAAAATAATGGGGACAGGGTGAGGAATATGGCAGCTCACAGAGCTGTTGTTTGCCAACAGTGCAATAATTATTGAGGGAAAAGCTTGGTGTTCAGAGGAGTTGGTGGGTTTAGCTAGCAAAAAAATGTTTTCTTTAGCTGTCTTTGCCTCATTCTCTGAAATTAACTTTTCTCTGTCCTCAGAATTGAAGCTTGAAGTGTCATGTGGTGGCTTGTAAAATTTCTGTGGGAGGCAACTTTATAAACTCCCAACATATCCATGAGTACAGCACACACTAAGGTGGATCCACTGTTTGCAGATGGTGGTGGTGGTGTTTGAACTTGTGGGCACTGACTTACAAGGGAGGGGATTTTCTCTGTACACATCCCTTAAGGCACACGGAACCAGCAAAGTGCACCTCTGACAGCACAACATGAGCTGGTTGTAGAAATGTGTAGTTCTGCTGCTCACAGGGAGGGTTGGAGACATCCAGTCCTACCCATAGACCCCATTGTCCCCTTCCTAATCTTCTAATTTTCACCTTCCCAGGATGCTGCCACGCACGAGGGGTGCCCTGTGCTTTCAAGGTATCCCCAAATGCTCCATGATCTCCAGCGGGTTATTTACCTTTGGATTAGTGCCTTAACTGGTCTGGTTTGACAGCTGGGGTGGCTGGTTATCCCTCCTTTGTGGGTGCCTGTGACTAAGTTTGTTCCTGCCTGTGTCCTGGTTGCAGGCAGGATTAACCTGAGGGTGAAACTAAACCCCAGGGGAGGAGAGGAGAACAGGGAGCAGGAGGAAGGTGAGCTTTGCAGGCTTTGCTGTGGGACTTGCTTGGCCAGTGGAGTCTGGAATAAGAGCACATGTCCAGGAGTTCATTGGAATAACCCTCTTTGTAGAGGAGTGGTAGCAAACAGTGCTTCCAGAATGTACCACAGTGGCTGGAACAGCTGTGCTGAGGAACAGGGTTTGGGTCTGGTACATCCATCAGTCCCAACATCATTTTTTATTTTTAAACGAAAAGATCCATTAAGTTCTATCCAGGTCTTTTGTGTTTGGTATAAGGGAACAAGTTCTAATGAAAAATTGACCTATATGAGTAACTATATTGTTATGAATGACAGGATTTGTGACTGTATTACAGGTGACTGTGGCATTGGTGTTTTCCTGGTTTTGCACACTTTCTTTTTAATGTCTTGCTGGCACCTTTTGAAATAAATACTGAGGGGTTTATTTGCACTTTTGAGTAAGCACATTTTTTTTCCCCAGGGAACCTCTCTTCTTTCCAGCTGAAAACAGTGTTTATTTGTGAAGTCTCTATCTAGTGGGTCATCCCAGAATTAATCCCAGATTTTATTAAAATCCATTGAAAGATTCCACGTTTTCCTCAGTGAACACAGCTATCTGAGTTGGTTGGGTGGGGGGGTTGGAACTGCATTTTATTTTTACACAGATAATTCCTTTTAAACTCTTTAATAATTAGCATTTGCCAAATGAAAAACAAGTATTTTTGAATATACAAAATTTATGACTGGAAAGAGAGATACTGTGGATAGGAAGAAGGGTTAAATGAGCAACAAATCTGATGAGGAGGAATGGTAGAAATCCACTGGGCTCTAGGCCAAGGAAGCAGTGCTATTTTTATTTTGTGAAAGCTATAAATAGGAGGTGTGCACCTTCTTGAGAGCTTGTATTAACCTTTCTTTGCAAAAGCAACTCCATGGAGTAATTTCTTACAGTCTGTTTCTCCTTTAAGTGATTATTGATACCAATTTTATCAATTTTTTAAATGTCAAGTGCATTCCTAGAATTCAGTGGTATGATTATTTATATGTTTTACAGAAAACTAACACTGGAAATAATTCATTTTTCACTTCAACTTTTATAAATCAAGTTGTAAAATCTTTTTTTTTCCCGTGAGCAAAGTTTTGTGATTCCTTTCATGTTGTTTAATGAATAAAAGAGAATTATATTTATAGAAAATAAATAATTTTTAACAAGATGTGCCTTTTAATTTCTTCCAAAGATGGGTGGTCATTCTGCTTTTTTCCCTCTCCTCTTGGTGAGTGAAGTTTTAGGGTTTTAGTTGTACAAGGTGAACAGTGTAGCTGGTGTTGAATGTTCACTCTGACTCCTGTTTTTTTTGGTGTCTCATCCAAACAAGGCCAGGACTTTGCAAAACAGAGGAACACCCAAAGCCCTTTTAAGGTGAGAAGGTGGGATCACAAGATGGGATCACCCAGTGCTGTGCAGGGTCCTGAAATGGCCTCGAGAAAGTCTCCCCTGGTGCACATTGACTCTCTGAGTTGCATTTCCATGGATACTGTGACCGTAGGACAGAGCTGCTTGAGAGCAGAGAGTTTACAGAGCTGCGTTTGAGCTCTGCTCTGGTCAGATCAGCTGAAGTTCAAGCACAAGCTGTGCTGTGGCTCTGGCTGGGAGGGCACTGTGGGCAGTCCCAGAGTAGAGTCCTGCCCTCCAGTTTAGCTGATGCCCAAATGCTCCTGTCCAGAACCAGCCCCCTCCTCACCGAAAGTGTCACCTGGCACCTCCATTCTGCAGGAAGAACGGGCACAGCGTGCCTGGGAAAGGGGAGGAGCAGCACAGCAGTTTCATCCCAGTGCCCCAGGGGAAGGCTTCGTTTTCCCGGCAAAAGGAGGATGGGAGGATTTAAATCAGATGGTTTCTTGCTGCAGTCTTGCTGATTCACAACTGCTCCTTCCCCTGCATGCAGCTGGCAGGGCACTGTCACTCACACTGTCACTCACACTGTCACTCACACTGTCACTCACACACTTGGGGGTTTTCGGTGGATTCCAGCAGAGTGTTGCTGTAGTACCACGGGTATGGATCTTCTCAGTGTCCCAGTCCTCCCCAGTGCTCCCTTGGGTGTCCAGGGACATTGCTGTGACATGTTTATGGTACTTTCTTGTGCCGTTGGTAATGCTGAATTATCTAAGATACCTATTCATTTGAAGATGGGTCTGCAAGTGAGGAGATTTAACAGTTAAATGCAACATCTAACATAGGGCTGGGGCAGTATTTTCCTCTATAGACTTTTCCTATTTTAATTCTAGTTTAGAGATAGTTTTGTTCCAGTTTACATTGCACATCACTGAGGAGAGATACTCCAGCTAGAACAGGATCAGTGAATCCTCTCCAAACGCAGGGAGCAGAGGCAGTGGTGAGAAAAGCAGCAAAATTTTCAGTGTCTCAATGCTTTTTTAAAACAAATCTTTTGGTGCTGTGCTCGACTTCTCCTTTGGCCACAGCTCAGGGCAATCCTTAGCAGGATCTGTGCTCCGGATTCATGGCCTGCCTTAGCAGGGATGTGGTTTCTTGCCTTCCTCTCCCGAAAAAAAGATGATGAAAATGTGGTCACATCCTAAAAACGGGTAAGAAAGGAGACGGAGGGGAGAGAGCAAAGAAGAGCACTTTCAGGAGCCTGGGCGGTCCAGAGCCGAGCTGCCTTGTGAGATGTCTGTGGGTTATGTGGATGGATCCGGCTCATTCCAGCTGCTCCCCCTGCAGAGAGCTGGCATGAGGTCCTGTAGCAATGCAGCACCGGGTTCCCCTGCAGGCACCACTGCAGTCCGTGCCAGGCCGGTGCCCTCCAGCTGCTCCCTGCGGCGGGACGTGCTGGCTCCCCTCCCCTCCCCTCCGGCAGATCGCTCTGTGGAGAGGAATTTCCCGCAGAAACTATGTCCTGGTGGCGCTCCGACCAGACATCGCCTCATTTTTTCCTTAAACAGGGCTCCCTTTCTGTAGGCATCTCCTTCTCCCCAGAACAATCCGGGTTCTGTGTGACTGTGGCTGTCGCTGAAATGAGACCTGTGCGTGGACACAGACTGGTAGGCAGGATCCTTTCTAGGCAGGATCCCAGGCTATTTTTAACAGGATTCCAGCATTTTTTTTCGTGCTTTGCTTTTCTTTAGGTGGGTAAGAAGAGGAGTTGGCACAGTGTTCTGTGTGCTTGGAGAGAGGAAGACAGAGAGGCCGTGAGATGGGAGGGGGGGAATGGAATGGGAGCTCAAATCTCTGCCTCATCCAAGTCTGGAACTGCAGCCAGGACCAAGTTTAGGCTATTTCCCTGCGTGAAGAGGGGAATGGGGTCAGATGTTGGGGAAAAGATCAGCTTGCATTCAGGGAGAGGGAGGAAATCGGAGGAAGAGATCAAATACTCTGTGTCTGTCTAAGGCGTGCATATCTCATTTGGGAATGTGCTTGTGGGGTGGACCTGAATGATATTAAACAGCTTAATTTGGGAAAAACAAAAGGTCTGCAGCAAAAGGTAGGGGGAAAAGCCAAGAGTGACTAGGATTCAGCTGACTGTCTGGATCCTGCATCATCCCACAGCTTTCCAGGGAGGCAGTTTGGTGGTGGTGCAGCACCACGCTGTGTGCCCCGTGGTAGGATTGCTTAGGGGTGGGAGGAGTCAGGACACCTTCCTCGTGTTCCCAGAGCCATGGGAATTGCTGGATCGTGCTTGGAGCAGAGCCGAAGGGACAGGACTCGGCCGCTGACTCACTGGGGGTGAGTCACCTTCTTGCCTGGGTTCCCTTCTCCTCTCACATGCAGCGACAGTAAATCAGCTACCTCGTGGGGATGTGGAAGGTTTGGAAGAGGCTGGAGGAGAGGCTGCTGGAGAGCTTCATCCTGCATCATCCCTGTGGTGTGTATCGAGTCATGTTCATCAAACAATATCAGCCAAAGCACTTGCTGGGAGCAGCAGCAGCCGAAATCTTTCCAGCACAAAGGCAGGCCCTGCTCTTATTGCTGTTATCTGCTGGAAGCAGAGGCTGCCTGGCACCTCCTCTCCCAGCAGCTGCTTTTTGACACGACCAAACTGTCTGACAGAGCACCCACCCCCACGCTGCAGTGTGTGACTCGCAGGGGGACATCACTGTGGGTGTTTTTCCTCAGCTCCTCTCTGGAAGCTCTTTAGGTGTCTGTCAGCGAAGAGCTGCTCTGGAGACAGGTCTGCCAGCAGCAGAGGGTGCTGCTTCCTCGTGCTGCAGGAGCGGCTGGGAAACGCTTTTCCCAGCCCTGTCCTGCAAAAGGAGCGTTTTCCAGAGGCACAGACTAACACAGCTGGGCCTCTGACAGCGGCTCCTCTGCTGGCCCTTGAGCCACACACGGTGCAGGGCTGAGCACTGATCTCCCGTGGCACAGCGAGCTCTCTGGCCAGCCTGCTCTCCCAGGAGCTCCTCCACAGCTGCTGTTCCTGTGTTATCCTGGTTGCTACCATTTTCAGTTCATGGCTATCCATCAAAAAGGCAAGGAACTAATTTTTCTGCTTCCCCACTTCTCATGCACAGGCTGTGACCATGTCCTTAGCTCCCCATTTACAGTGCAGTTGACACAAGGAGTGTTGGGACGTGGCCTTTTTCCTGCACCTGCAGGACTTGAGTCAGCCAGAAAGGTCACTGTGATTTTAAGGGGGTGTTACTTCTCATTAAGAGGTAGCCACGTCTGTAGGACATGCACGCTGGAGATAACTGGTGTTGTAAGGGTTGCTCCAAAAAGAACTGGAAGTGGAGTATCTTCTACATCCAAGTGCTCCAGCCGTGTATTTCCCATTCTTTAAGGCATCTTCCCATCAAGCACCCTGTGCTGAAGTGGAAAGGCAAAGGAGCAGTGACAGGAGACATCACAGCAAGCCTCTGCTTTCCAGGTGAATGGAAACCAAAATGTCTGGGTTCCACTTTTGTTTTGTTTTGTGTTTGTTTGGAGTTTTGTTTGCTTGTTTTTGGAAAAGCAGATTAATTTCATTCCACAGCCTCATTTGTTTGTGTTGCAGTGTGCAAAGTGTTTTGTGTTGACACCTCAGTTCACAAGAAGAGACTAAAAGGAAGATGACTACTCTTTCTTTTTCCTGCAAAGTGTCCCTGGGGTTTGCCTCTTCTCCCTCCCCTGTCCCACCCTCTTTTACTCCCTTTCCCACCACATTTAGCCATCTTCCAGCTGAGGAGGGTTTGTTGATTGTCCTCTAAGCAGGCTTGGCAGGATTTCTACCTC